TGGCTGCAGGAGCCCTCCCAGCTGGTCCCCTGCAGCAGTGGGACACACACCCGGAGGTCAGGCGGCCTCCGGGACGCGGCTGTTCTCAGCCCCGGCGAGGGACCAGGGTGGCCTCGGGGTCACGTTCCCCATCTGTGGGATTCTCCCCCATTCCGGCCACGTGGGAGCCGGGCAGGAACGAGTGAGTCACGGCCGGGCCCCACTCTTTACCATTTATAGTCAAATTGAGCACGAAGCCACTGCTGAGTCCCTGGAGAGCCCGGCTCCGGCCCCTGGAGCTCCCAGCCTGGCCCTGGCCTTTAGTATTTTCCTTTCATTCCCATTATCTCCGGGGTCATCTCAAAGGGGGTAACCAGAGCCTGATGGAATTTCAGCCTGTTTCTGCCAAAATGGCCCGGGAAGGGGCAGCACCTCCCCATGGTCCCCCATAGGGACCATGTGGATTTGTGTGCGCACCCGGCACAGCGTGTGCGAGGCTGGTGCCATAAAACAGCACCCAAGGGGGGCAAAATGTGGCCCCAAAGCAGCCAGAAAGCAACAGCATGTGAGCCTGGGAAGTGATGACCAGGAATGCATTCGTACTACCCTGCCTCTCGCCCTCTGCACAAATAGCATCATCCCACTGGACTGGTGGGTTTGGGGGCATCTTCCCCAGCAGCAGAGTGATGCTGTGGTCCTGAGATGGAGGCAAGGAACTGGTGTGGCCCCCGCTGGGGTTACCTGGGGAGTTGGGGGCTCTACCTTCCTCTTCTTCTTCTGATTCTGCTTGTTTGTCCTCGGATAGACTATCAGCATCTCCAGCCACCTGCAGGCAGAGAAAGCAGAAGGTGAGGTGTGTGCTGAAGGGCAGCTCTCACAGGGATGAGAGCGATGCTCACACTCCTGTAATGCAGCTTCTCACAGGCTGCGGATCCCAAAGCTGTTTCCCCACCAAGGAGGGCTCTGACCACACTGGCTGGGGGGATGCTTCCCCATCCCATCTCCAGGGCAGGCTGCCTGCAAGCTCCAGAGATGGAGCATCCACATTTCACCCCTAATCTCAGCCTTCCAGGGTTTGTAACTTGGCCATAGCACAACCCCAAGCTGGAGCTGGGCACACGGAGGAGCTCAGCTTCTCAGCCTGGTCAACGTGGCACACAGTACCCAGAAATCATCTCAAGCAGCTCCTGGGGGGAAAATGAGGCAGGACAGGAGGGGAGGAGGGATGATCCCACACTGCTTTGGCCCAAACCCTACTCACTGCTAGAGCGAGGCCATGGCCAAGGCTGACATGGAACAGAGATTCAAGGATCCTGAGAGGAACAGAGCCTCCAGCAGGACCTTCCCCTTTCAGTGATGCCAACACCCGCACACTGCACACAAAGTGCTTCTGTCCAAGAAAGAGCAGCATGAACTTGGCATTGAGAAGCCCATGCCCTGCACAAGCTGCTTATTTAGGGGACCCTCCTGTGCCCTCCCACCACGGCCTGACAACCTGCCTCTGCACCTCTGAACATCACATGGCCGTGCGGGAACACTTCCTGCTTCAGCTGTCCTTGCTTCCCTCTCCTGTTCCCCCCACTTCATACACTGCTGTAAAGCGTTTTGGGACGACCACATCAAGTGGGTTTTGGTTAAGCAATAAATGCCAGCAGCACGGAATGAATGTAAAACATATTCTCTCCTGGCCCGGGGAATCTTCCTGTCGTGCTGCAAGTGCAGATGGAACCCGCCTGGCTCACAGTCAGAGCAGGACTCTTTGGGGATGATTAATGCTTGCAGTCAGGAGCAAACGAGCTGCTTCAAAATCCAGTGCAGGGCCAGTGAACAATAAATCAGCCCCACCTTGCTCTGCAATGCCTCTCCCTCCCATGCAGCGAGAGCAGGACCAACAACAACAGGCTGAGCTGTGAAACAAGGGGTAGGGAAAAGAGGACAAGAGCAAGGCTCATGATGGGAGTTGGCCTTGTTTTGGGGTATAAGCATTGCTCCTGCCTTGGTTAGAGGAGAGGAGATGGCTCCCCCGTGCCACAATTTCCCTGGCTATGAAGCTGCTGCAATCCCACCACTGTAAATGGGGACAGGAGGGTGGTCGTGCTGCCAGAGGACACCAAGACAGTGCACAGAGGGGGAATCACCCATGCTCACACGTCTCAGTAGAACAGGGAAGTTTCAACACATGAGAATGTGTATCTGATCAAACTCCCAAGCTCTTGGTAGAAAAATGACAATTTCAAGCAGTATTTACCAAAACAGGGGGAGTCACAACCAAAGAAAATGCTTGGAAATAGAAATCATCTCAATAGAAAGCACTGACTGCTGCTGCCAGGGCTTGGGCAAGTAGGAGACACTGTACCTCAGGAAGAGGTATGCCCCATCCCTGGCAGTGTTCAAGGCCAGGTGGGACACAGGGGCTTGGAGCAACCTGCTCTAGTAGAAGGTGTCCCTGCCCGTGGCAGGGGTTGGAGCTGGATGATCTTAAGGTCCCTTCCAACCCAAACTGTTCTATGATTTTAAGAGCAGGAAAAAGTGAGCACTTCGTCCCTTCAACTTTCTGCTCTACTTTCAAATGTCAACAAATTTGGGGAGGGAGCACTGAGCTCCACAAGTTCCACATGGGAAATGCTCACAGGAGAGCAGCAGCACCCTCGCAGTCCACCACTGCATGCCTGCAGCTCGGCTCTCCTGCAGCTCGTCACCCCTCAACCCAACCCAACCCAACCCAACCCACGTGTGAGTGATGGATAAGGATGTTTCTAGGTCACCATCCAACACCTGGAGTTGGGAAATCTACCACAATTTGCTCATTTTAGTGGCCTAATCAGCAGCGTTGCTGAGCAACTGCACCCCAGTGGCAGGTGCTCCTATGAGCGATGATGCTTTAATCATCCTCAGAGGTCAGATGCTCCCCTGGGACCAGTGGGGTGGGATGCATCCATCCCCTCTGCCAGACTATCCACAGGCTCCAACCCCATCCTGTTGTTCACCCTTCAGACAAGCTTCTAGCCAGCAAATAGCTGCTTTCTGCTGAGGCTCAAGCTGCCATGGCCAGCCCATGAGCACCTCGGTATCAGGTGCACCCTCTGAGCATCCCACAGATACTGCAGTGCATCTCAGCTTGCTCCCAGGGGTAAGTGCCCCTGGGAATGTTGTTCTGCAGCAGGAAGCAGGATATTGCCCAGTGGCAGACAAGAAAACTGACCTGGAAATGGTGGCCTTCATAAGCAATGAGTGACTCGGGAGCATCTCAGCTCTGGGGCCTGGCCAAGGCTCCCAGCAGAGGCTGAGCTTCCTTGAGCACTGGCTCTGAAAGGTGTCCAGCACGTTGGGAAGCCTCAGGCTCCAGCTTGGCATGGCCGAGCACATGCACTAGGCATGGAGAAAGGACTTACTGGGTATGCAGTGCCACAGCACCCAGTCTTGAGCAAGGTCCTACCCACCCTTCTCTTCCTCCTGGCTAAAGAAAGAGCCTTGTGGTGGCTTGGCCCTGGACTGCACTCACCCGCTGATGATCTCCTTGTTCTCAGCCCGGATGAAGTGCTCCTTCTCTGGCGTCAGGATGCACAAGGAGAACTTCTGCCCTGTCCGGCTCTCCCCATCCACCACATCTGTGCACTGGTTCATGTTGATGGTGCCCTGTGGGAGGGTTGTTGGCTGCAAGGGGAAGGAGAAAGGAGCAATGGTTAAGGAGGGAAGAGCAGGTGAGTGCAGAGTTGAGCCCTAAAACCTCTCCTGGTGGACACCAGGATCCTACACACCAAGAGTGAGTATCCAAACCCATCCGTGTGCAGTGGTGGCACACAGAAAAGCCCTGTGCCACGCACCTGGGGACACAGACCAGCAGGCACAACTGCCAGCCCAGCCCAGTCCACTGCTACCAGCAAGATGAAAGGCAAAGCACCAAGTGGTTTGTAGCTTTCGGTTTGCAGCTACAAACCATGTGGGGTGGTGGGGTGGCACCCAGGGACAGAGGGTGGCAAAGCTGCAAGGCCACACTGCCCTCAGTGCAGGGCAGCATCACAGACAGACAGACACACACACATGCCAGGTTTTTCCCATTAAAAACATGGAGTTTGCCAGGGAGGGACCACAGCATGGAAGCGACCTTGCTTGTCTAATGGGCTTTGCAGATACACTGTCACCTCCCACCCTACTTGCTCCGAGCAGACACAGCGCAGTGGGACTGGCTGCGCCCCCCCTGGCCCGAGGGGATGTGAAGGGACCCAGAGGGGTGTCAGCACTGACAAGAGGTGACAGGTCCATCTGGAGTGGTGCTGTCTCATCCGATTACAGCGCGGCCACCAGTGCTCGGTGTCACTGGGCTCGGTGACAAGGAGCTCCCCACTGCATCCTGGTGTGAACCTGCACTTGGGGCATAAATGACCAGGCAGAGACCCTCCAAGCTGCCAATGGCACCAAATGAGCACCCAAAGCAGCTCACAGCCATCACGACCCCACCAAAGTCCCTTCGTGCCATCCAGATGGCCAGGCCAAGGTGGGAATGGATTTACAGATGCTGTTAATGTTTCTACCATGGAAACCACAGCTCCCCTGCCAGCAAACTCCTTCCAGAAGCAGCCTGCACCATACACAGAAGGGGAGACTAGGGAGAACGTGATGATCCCAGCCTACAACCCTATGGAATTCAGATCAGCCCCCTGAGGTCCCCAGTTTACCCATCTGCAGGCCGTGGGAAATGCTTCATTCCCCAGGAAAAGGGCTTTCCCTGCCCCAGGAGCATCCTACGAAAGCCCAGGGGCAGCACGGAGCTATCATGGGTGCTGCAGCATCAGTGCCCTGAATGGGCAAAGAACAGGGCCACTTACACATCAGGGACACCAAAACCTCCTCTTTTCCTCTATGGAAATCAGCATCTACAGACCCTACGGGATGGAAGGGAAAGGAAGGAGAGCAAAGCCAAGCCCAGACCCCAGCACGGCGCAGGCACCGTCGCAGGGAGTCGCCTCCTAAGAGGATTTTTTGTCTTAGACAACAAAAATAAAACCAGGAGCTATAAAAAACCATCGGAAAAACTTCCTCCTGCTCCAAGTGGAGCCTTAGAAACGTTTTTGCCTCATTCAGCACAATCTCCAGGACTGTAAGGTCTGGGTCCAACCTCCTTCCCCACCACATCACCAGGGAATGTAACCAGGACAGGAGAAAAAGGGGATGAGGGTGTCTCCAAGAGGGAACCCTGAGTTGCTTGGTCCCTCTTGCACCCCTCAATTCCCAGGGAGGCCCTGCAGGGAGCTGGTACAGGAGAGGAGGAGAAGCCTCCCTGCTCTCCTCCCTCTTTCACCCCAAGGCAGCGTTCAGGGCGGCTTCCCCGGAGCTCACACCCAACCCAAGCGTGCCCGGAGCGGAGGAGCCGGTTTGGGGCCGCACCACCACCGGACCAGCCCATGGAGTGGTTTTGCCACACACCTCTCCTTGTGAGGGTGAACGTTGGCATCTTGCACAGCCCAACCCATCCCCATCCACTATCACACCTCCAAGCCATGATGCCAGGAAGGGGGGCTGCGAGCAAAGCTGGTTCTAGCCTATCCTGTGCCTGTGGCCAGGGACAGGACCGGCACCAGAGATGAACCCACCACCCCCCTGGCATCCCCACTGCTCTCGGCAGCAGATGAAACCTGACAGACCAGCAGCCTGGCTTGCTCCAGATGTAAATTCCTTTACACCATTTACTTCCTTGGAGGCAGCACAGGCACTTTGAAGCAGAGCAAAATGCAAATGGCATCAGGTGGAAATGTGCACACAGCCTCCGCCGAGGAAAAGGATGGGGTTGGGGCAGCACTGAACCCCGGGAGCATCCTGAAATCACACAGGATCCCAACACAGGAGCTGGTGATGGCACAGAGCTGCTCTCCCCAAGGAATCCAGAGAACAGGGACAGCCTTTGCGTGCTGAAGCTGCAGGGTGGTAGTGTGGGAGCAGGGAATATGGGAGACAGCCCTGAAGCACGGGACAAAGACACATGGAGCCCTTCCCCACCTCTGAGCACCCATTTCTGTGCTGGGGGGTTTCTCAGGGCTGGGGTTCCCTGGGGAAGGAAGAGCAGAGCTAGTCCTCAGGCTGGTCCCAGGTCAGGTGAGGACTGCGTGGCCTCAGTGATTGGAAGGGAATAAATAAATGCAGAAGCAGGGAGGTTACACACCAGAGACACCAAAACAACAACATGGCTGGGACTTCAACCAGCCTTTTGAAGAGCAGATGCTTTGATACAAGCTTGAACCCAGCGTCAGACCCCAGGGCCATGGGGAGGTTTCGTGTCAGGGTGAGGCAGGAGCGGATGCTCAGGCTCAGCTCCGGCTTCTGCTGATCCCCACCTTGCAACAGCCCCATCCCCAGGCACTGGCCCTTCCTCTGCCATTTCCATTGCTGTTGTCAGTGGGATGGAGCACACAGCTACCCCACAACTGGATCTGGTGCCTGGAAGCCCTGCAGGGTGGCACCAACACAGGACACCATTGTGGGCACCATCCCAAGCAGCATCTCCCCTTGGTGCCTCCAGCCCAGCACATCCCCTGCCACATGCTGGCACGGGGAAGGCAGCACTTGCACCATCTGAGCAGCTCCAGCTCTCCACGCTGCCAGTATCAGCAGAGGAACCAGAGCCAAGAAACAATCAGGTTGTTGTTTCCCACTGGTATGACAGATCCATATTTACACACGCACGTGCTCGCAGTGTCCCTCTCCACATTACACAAAGCCTATAGTACACTCTCCTCCTCCTCCTCTCCCTTCACCAGGCATCCAGGAAGTGAGTCATGCCATGATCTCCCCATCCACAACCCCAGCAGCCTCCAGATGAGATGCTCTTAGGATGCAGAATCCAGCAACTGCAGCAGCCCCCACCTTATACAGTGGAAAGGAAGGAAAACGTGGGGACCTACTATAAGCCCAAAGGAAGACATCCCAAGAGGGACATTAATGGGGGAGACACAAATGCTGTGGCAGGAGGATGCACTGGGATGCTCTGTGGGTGATGAACTCCCAAGCGCAGGGGTTGATGCTGTAAGTCAAGAGGGTTTATCCACAAGAGTCCCTCATTTCCATACAGTTTTGAAGGGCTGAGATAGAAATAGAGGATTATTTAGACTCAAAGACTTCCAGATTTTCCCCAAGTACCTTCCCCATCGTTTCTAACGCATTGTAGGAGCTCGATCCAAAAATACAACAGAGTTTTGCTCAGCAACTGTACACAAGATGTTTTCTGAGCAGGTAACCCCAGGGTCAGGCTCCTGCCACAGCCTCGGTGGGACACGGCCAATGCCCACACCATTCTCCAGGGCTATTACACAACGTGGGTTGATGAAATCTGGAACACAACCTTTAAAGAAAGGCGACAGGGCAGGGGGAGGAGGCAACCAAACAAAAGGCACATTTTACTTTCTGCCAAGAAGCAGGAGGGGAAGGGAAAGAAAAACCCCACAACCATTTGTCTCTCTCGCATGGCGGGATGGTTGCCTTGGCACCAGGGGCTGTTCTGGGGGGAGACCGTGGCTCTGCTGTCCTGTTCCATTGCGATGCTGCATGGGAAGGGCTTGGACTGGCTCTGCCCTGGCTCCCAGCGCTGCTTCAGAGCCTGCAGTGCCTGGGGAAGCCACATCCACGCTGCCTCCACAAACGCTTCTTGACAAATGTTAATTCTCCCAGCTAAAATATTCATGAAGGTGGCTGCCGAGAGCACGCTGCTCATTTGCAGCACTCCTCAGTGCTCTGCAAAGGCAGCTGCTGAACGTAGAATCATAGAACCATAGAATAGTTAGGGCTGGATGCTAAAAGCTTCAGCCACCCCCAGCGTCCAGGCTCGCTGCCTGCGGTGCCATGGTGTGCCCTGAGCTGCCCAGGCGCCGGGCGAGCCGGGCTGGCACAGCAGCAGGGCTTTAATGAGCCTTTCAGGCTTCCTGCCACCAGGAATGAGGTTATTGATACGGCCACAAGGCAAGCGGAGCTCTGCGGCGGGCAGGTTTTATTACACTTATAGATCATCTAACAGGCTGAGCATCCTGGGTTTATTAGATTAGACAAAGGCTCTTGAAAATGAGCTCTGCAAAAGGATGGACTGGAGCAGCCACCCACCAAAGGGGAGCAGAAGGTTGTGCTCCTCTATCCCCACACAGCTCTCTGCTCTCCCTGTGCCATCCAAGCAGGAGGCAGGTAACTTTTCTTGGCCACCTGAGCACAGCCTTTCTCTATCAACAGCTACTGCTCAGTGAAGCCACTGAGAAACCTCTGGCTTGCTTGAGCCATGCCATGCTCTCCACATCCACAACCCCAGCAGCCTCCAGACGAGATGCTTTTAAGACGTGGAGCCCAGCAACTGCAGCAGCCCCCACTTTATACAGTGGAAAGGAAGGAAAGAAAGAATGGGGGCCTCTTATAAGCCCAAAGGAAGAAATCTCAAGCGGGACATTAATGGGGAGACCCGGATGCTGTGGCAAGAGGATGCACAGCGCTGGATGCTCTGTGGATGATGAGCTCCAAGGCACAGGGGCTGATGCTGTAAGTCAAAAGAGTTTATCTGTATGAGTCCCTCATTTCCATATATCACACATCAGGCAATAACAACCTGGGATTTTACCGTGGGTAAGGGAACTGAATGGAGGTACCCCAAGGAACCAGCTCGGGGAGGTGGGCTTGGAGGATGT